CCATTTCAAATGCTCCGCAAAATTTTATACAATCGATTATTTTTGATAGAACGTACCTGTTTTTTGTAACGGTATCATTGTGCTGTTGTATATTTCTCCAATATGCTGAATCTAACTGAGCTCTGATGTTAACAGCCCCAATAAAGCCAATTCCATCGAATTATGAAGATGTGTTTTAGAGTTTTCATGCTTCTTAATTTGTTCACTCAGGTGCACTAAATCTGTAACACCTACCTCCGTCCAAGCTTTGTCACCCCCGAAAAGTATGCAAGGAAAGCAGAAAAGGGCATTCTTCCTGTTGCACCCACAAATCCAGTCATTTTTGGTGTAAATCTCCCTGCTGAAATGCCGCGTATAGCCCTTGCCCCGACTAACGCCCTGTGTTTCTATAAATATGCCCGGCAGCGGTCGACCTCATACCTTCAGCTCAATTTTTTCTTCAAATGTGTATTTCCAGAATCGTTTCACGCTGATAAGTCTGTAAACTACATCGATTGTCTTGCACTACCCTTCTACACAGCCACAGTCAGTCAGTGAGTCACTAGTCACTCAGCGTAACGTAAGACCCAAAATACCAGAATAAAAAATTTTTCGCATTTAAATTTTAAACCACGTCACGCGACAAGACCAATATGCCAATACCGAGGACCCAGCACCGACCGACCAATCAGATACCGTACTTCGCATTAGATCTGTACGGAGCTGCATAAATTGCAGCACATGCTTATGCTTAAATCGCGCATTTGATTTTGTTGAGAGAGACAAAAGCAAGCGCGTGCGGCTTGTGTCGAAGTAGTGCACAGACCCTTTTCAAGTGGCCCATGAATAATGTTACGCTGCGGTCGCGACGAAAATGATAAGTCGATTATAATGCTGCAAAACAGACTCCACGCCCTGTCTTGCGGGGGCAGGCCGGTATTGTTTCTATTTGTGTGATAACATGAAAAATAAATAATGATCAAATTACTACTTCTTTTTTCGGTTAAGACAAAAGTTTTGGCAGTTCTGCAGCTCTGCAGAACTGAAGGGCCAGCCGCCCCTGGCTGAGCTTAATTCTATATGAACTCATGACGGCGTTGCGTAGGAGGTGCAGAATCAATCTACTTGGCGCCATCTTTAAATAGCCGGTTCAAATTTCAGATTTTGAATGACTTAGCCTCCAACATAACATTCTGACAACATTTTTGCTCCTTTGTACTTGCATGTCAGCTGTTAGCAATAAATCTTTCCTTTTCACGGGACTGTATCAACATGTCACTGAAATATTGAGTTTCCATAAAAAACTGATTAAGTTATTTGATGATTATGTTATCACAGCGATTTTCGGAAAGCTGAAAAGCATTTCAAAGGGCAATATGGCGATTGTGCGTCAAACAGCTAAATAATGTTTCTCTTTGGCAAAAACGTTATTTGCTATGCACTGTATATAATTAATGATATATGCGTCCCGCTGAATATCAGAGCAAAGCCATGTTGTAATTTTATTTAACGAAACCTATCAGAGTGAATATAAATGTGAACTAAACTGGTTGCGAAATTGCATGAATTCTTAAATGCAACCGACCATTCCTGTAGAACTTACGAAAAACAGTCTACGAAAATCATTTGTTAACATACCAAGCAAGGTTAAAAATTGCTTTAAAATCAACTAATCTTAGACGTTTTATAGGAGAAGGTTTGAGGATTGATTTAGACACTAACTTGACAACCTCAACTAACTTTTAACTAGTTTTTAAATATTGAAAATGACCATTCTTAAGCTTTTCAAACATTCAATTGCTTATAACTTGAAAATGGGTCTGTTTTAGAGGTGAGTTACTAATGACTTTTTTGTTCAAAATGATCAGAAAAACACTTACTCTAAATAAATATTTTGAGCTAAGTTGTAAGGAGATTTTGGGAAAAATTATACCACTTTAATCAGTTTGTATGTAATAATAATTAATAATAATGATAATAGTAATGCTAATAAACGTCTTTTATTTAGGGCGAAGTTTAGCTACAAGCTATTCCACCAGTTAACCCTTGAAAAACTAGCATTAGAATATTTTTAACGAAAGTAACAAATGGAACACACCGTACACATGTGTGTACAAAAAAACTATAAAGGATTTATATAATATGCAGAAATATGAGGAAATATAGATGATTTATATACTGAGAGTTAATTGAGATTTGAGCATCAAAGATAATTTTAATTTGCTTTTTGAAATTATAAAAATCAACATGTTTCGTAGTCGACGGTAATGCATTATATACATATATTGGTCGCATTTTAGGTAAAGCATATATGAAATGATGAAGTTTTGTGAAGAGGCGTTGTTAAAGGTGAAGAGAATATTCCGCGAGTGGATACCCTCACGAAATATCATTTTTTTTCAAAAATGAAGGGTTTGAAGATGTAGGCATTTGTGAACATAGCATAAAAAAATTGTACAAATTTGCAACATTTAACCAACTTAGGTACCCGAAACATGAACATCATATTTTCTTAAATTGAAAATCAATCTACAATATGAATCTTGATTTTTTGGTAGATGTTTAGTTAAAACTGAATCTAGAGATGCATAATATACTAAATCACAATATGTGATTTTTGACATTATTTAAGATTCACATAAAAATATTTGACTTTGAAACTAAGTATTATACAAGTACCGATGCCTTAAAACAGTAAAACAATTTTTAGTCACATTATTCACATGAGAAATAAATTTGAGATTTTCATCTATGTATAAACAAGTTAAAGTTATGCTCAAATTATTTTTATTTAGAGACCTTGGTGCTGGCGATTTAGAATTCATTGTATTTGCTTTAAATTTGTATTCTTGACGTACCTATACTACACTTATATGCTTGTCGTCCAATAGAACAAATACTATTCCTATTACCAATGAGAAAGCTCATGATGATATAATTAGAAATGGACTGTAAACTGGAGAGAAAATAAGTCATCGCTAAGAAGGAGTATTGTTCCTAATTAGCTGAAAACTAAAATGTTCTTCATGATGTACTATAAATGCTTATAGCTTTCATGACAGTCATCCTGGCTGTTTCTAGACATATTTTCAAACATTATTGTTTATTACTCTTTAGTTTTTTGGGCCATTTGGACAAAGAAGCTCATTAGTAATTCTTCTCTGAAGTTGACCGTTTTCTAGGGATTTGGAGTCTGGAAAATCCTTATGATGGACACTTTCAATGCTTGGAAAAACTTGAAAATTATTTTTGAGGCTGCCAAGTAGTATCTAAATTAAAATTCAAACTTTTACCTACCAGACTTTTACCTTTTCCCGGTAGGCTAACGAGCGAACTTTTGATTTTCGCAGGATGTATCTCTTGCATCACATCAAGGCTTGGCAAGGCTATAGCTGCGTTCTCATAGGGTAACCGTTTTCCTAGCATTCGTCAAATTTGAAAACAACACAGCTTTCAACCGGAAGCTCCTCCAGGGTCGCTTCAAGTTTCCACTCTCCACTCAAGACAGGAGTCGCGACAGAGATTTCAAAAGCTACCACGCTGTCGACTCTTGCCTCGTGAGAACAGAGCTCATGGTTTCACATATACAGGGCGTTGCAGAAAAAATATGAAACATAGTTTGAACATGTGTACGGAAATTGTATGCCACTGGCTTTTCCAAAGCATCGTTTTCTCAAAGCCAAACTGATTCTGCTTGAAAAGTGTCTGTTGGATTTATTTATTATTTTCGTTAATAAAATTCCAGCTTAATTAATATTTTTAATCAGCGGTGGTGTAACGGTCAATAAAATAATTTTTATTTCAAAATACGTGCTTTGAACAAAAAAAAAATGGAGTCAACGCCATCATCAGTTCATAAAGGATTAAGTGCAGCGCAATTTACATCCTACTGGTAGTTACCAACCATGTGGCAACCTTATCTATTTCCACATACGCGAGGCATCGCTGCAGCGAGTTATCTAACGTTTCGTGCAGGGTCCGTACGTTTTTGTGATTGAGTACGGATACATACATAAGCCTGACTGGTTCGCCAGGTGGTGTGCTTTAGATAGGCAGGAGTAAGCGGATAGAAATCATTTCTCTATTATTCTAAGTTGTGAAGGCAAATGTACTGGTAAATCTATGATGTGTGACATAATGGCTAATAGGTACATAGAATTACCGGGGTTGGGAGCATATAAATATAATAAAATCAAAAAACTCGTATACCCTGGCCCACCCCTACAACCCCCAACCCCCAAATTTCAACCCCTACATTTTTTTCTGAAAATGATCAGAACATTCTATAAAGTCAAAAAAAGAAGTTTCAGCGATTATTATTTTTTTCGTTTTTAGCTTTTACAAAGCATTTTCGTAATTGGCATAATATGTAGTAGTAACGTTTCATCGGAATCGGAGCTGTACTTTTCTTATACGCAGTTATAAGATTAGCGGACAAACCGACAGACAGGCCAACGGAAATAGATAACATGGTTTTTCGTGATGTACATTTCATATAATATCTATCCAAAAACATATCTCATTTTCGAAATACTTCGCGAATATAATACTTCCCCGCCCACTGGCGTAGGATGTAAAAGTCCAAGAGATACTGAATTTTTGCAAAAACCAGTAGCATTCTGTTTTTCGCTGATCAAAGATAGAAACTTGGTGCCACGAAGCCAATGATGTGAATGCTTTAGAAAACAATTTTTAACATCATCTGGATTTTCAAGATTTTGTTCTAAATTTTAAGAATGTTCTACGTTGCTACAGTTTTCAGAATATTGAAAACTGAAAATTTGGAAAACATTGAACAATCAGAAAGTTAAGTAAAAGGAATATTTTGAGAAGTTTGAAGGTCTCAAATGATTTGAAATACTGTGGATTTTGAAAATTCCGCCAAATCTGTGTTTCGAGAACCATATAAAGTTGAGAATTTAGAGCACTTCGGAAACGTTGTTCGGTTTTAAATCAAGGGTAGATCAACTCAATCGTCATTCAGCTTTCAAGGGTCGACTATAGCTGTGGACTTTACTTACCTAATATCAGGATGTGCATCGAGCATAGCCCTCATCAACGTAGTACCGCTCCTCGGCACGCCGCCAATGAAAATCAACGGCATCTGCCTATTTACCTCCTGTATAGCGCCCAGCCTACTAACCAATAGCGGCCCATCGTAGTCTCTATCGCCGTCTGCGCCGCCTAATAGCGCGCGCACCGCCCACAAGCAGGCGAGCGCCGCGCAGGACGCGAGAACCAATCGCCGCGCAGACATGCGAGCCACGTGCATCGAGAGTGGGAGGGGCTTCCGCCCCAACCAATCGCGCGGCCTCACCTTGGCCGCGGCGGCATCGCACGGGCGGGATTCAGGCGGAATGGGCGCGAGCTGGTCGGATCAGAGTATTAGTGGGCGGAGTTACGGCAGAGCGGTGGAGACTGAGAAGCCACCTGGAACAAAATAAATACAGTTTTAGATTTCTCCAAGGCTGAGGTGTTGTCGAGCCCTTGTTCTTGGTGTTTAAGAGAGTGGGCTGAGTTCAGTAATCACAAGTCGTCTCAGGAAACACTCGGGTAAGTATATTAACATAGTGGTTACAGGTAAATAATAGACATGGTCAGTACAATCTACAATATCCGCGAATCAGTAACGCACAGGCAAGTGCAAAACGTCCGGTAAGTACAATTACAATACATCTAAGGAAGTACAAGTCGTTTCACGAGTTACGGCTATCGTCGAGGGACACGTCTAATCGTATGAGAAAACGTCTCTCGGTACATGTATTTCGCAATATTTCGAGATAATTCACTTTATACATTCTTGGGATTCGGTCAACTTGAAAGATTTATTGGAAATAAATGCTACATTTCGGCGACTTTCAACGCCATCTTCAGATAGATATGAGTTTCTAGAACTAAACAAAAGCGTCAGAAATTGGTAGTTTGAGTGTTCGACAACGACTGGCGATAAATATTTGATGATAAAAATAAAAACAAGACTAAGGTAAAAAATATAAATATGCAAGAATATTATCTTTTTACAGTGAGCGGTAGTATGGGTGTGAGAATACAACAAGCTACAGCTTTTATTAAATTTGTGCAGATACTTGATCGATTGTATCAGTTCTACCATATAATTTATACTGGTAGTGTCTTTCTTTATACAGGGTGGTGCAGAAAGAGGTGCCAATACAGAAAGTACATCCAAAAATAATACAAAACATTCTATAAATATGGGTTCAAACATGCTGCCTGGTGATGAAGTTTTATTTACGAAATTAAAAAAATATATCTACGAAGCGGGTAAAGATACTGAGTTAAAATTTTATAGATTAATTGAGCACGTCATTAGCAATAAACACACAGAGTTTCCCGACCCAGACTAAACCAGGGACGTAGGAACTGGGGTACCTGGACCCATAAGAAATATTTTCTACGCCACTGGCATTTTCGAAGAAAAGAAGTGAATATTATAAAACTCCATTCAATTTCACATAAATGGTTTTGGAAATATTTAAGTTTGAACATTTGTGGTAAAAAAGAGAAACTATGAGTGTTTATCGCTGGCGATGTGCTCACTGAACGTCTACAATCTTAACTCAGTATCTTTACCGGCTCCGTATATAATTTTTTTCAATTTCGTAAATAAAACCTCATCACCCTGTATCTCCGTAGGGGAGCAACTGTAGACCTATGTTTATAGGAACTTTAATAGTCCGGTTCTTTGTCTAGAGCTTTTACATTAATCAAATTCATGCCGATTTACAATTACATGTTTGGCTAAATCCTTATGTCATACTCATGTTTATATTATGATACATCCTTTTCTTTATATATTATTTAGTCTGTTCTTTATATGAACTTGGGAATCGTTGAATGTTATTCTGGGAATTGAGTTGCTTTGCAGATCTTTCTCGTTGGGGGGTTTTAGGTTTGAAAATATGTTTTTGGTTGTTGCAGTGATTTATATGCTTCATAAACTTTGAGTTTCCAAAACACTTTATTCATATTTTCAGACAGACCTTCGGATTAAGGCGACGATATAAATTTCTTGGTATGTTCGTCAGTACGTTATTATAAATTTGGTGTAGTATCTTCTGATTCTGACATCAAAAAAGGCTAAAAAGAGAAAGAGACAAACGTTTACAATAACCATTAAACATTAAAATATTCATTTGGGGTCGAAAATCGTTTATTTCGCACTTTTTCAAATATCAAATCGCTTATAGCTGGAAAACTATCAACTTTAGAAAAAAATTCATACGAACTTGTTTTGTTCAGAATAACCTAAGAATTATAACCAGCACCCGGAGCGATGGAAGCAAATTTTTGAATTTATTTGAAAAGACGTTTAAGCAAATTTGACGGAGGTTTGGGTCTGACAACAAGCAGATTCGTTAAAAAGGCTCGATATTGAGTAAGATTATGCACAAGAATTGAATCAGAATATTTTGCAAGTAGATTCGAATATACTTCATGGACTAAATAAAATTCTTCCTAAAATGTTTTTTTTGAAAGCTCCATACTACATGTTTTTAAACAGCTGGACTTGTTCAGTGTTTTTTCCGCAAATTACTGATTCAAGCGCCTTATGAAAGTTCCCTGGAACACATCCATAAACACTGAAATTTTAAACATGACGAACAGCCATTTTACCAAAATGGTGATAAAATCCAGCTTTCCAAATCGGGATATGTGATGGTTTTAGGGAAACATCCGAAAGCGCTTTCCAGGCATACATTTTTGATCACCTGAAAACGATTTACTTGCCGGCGGTTTGATATAAATTTACGGCAAACCATCACAATTTTGCACATTTCATTGAGTTCTTTTTCCATGCTCGTCGAATTATCAGACAATTCTAAGCGCACTGTGCAATTGAGAGGAAACATTTATGAAACATACGCCAGTGATTTAGTCAATCCAAGCGAGATTTATATATTATATACTAAAAAGTAGTAGCCTTTGGTTGTAGTATACAAATGCTGAGAACGCGATAATGACCGCTGGATTGTGATAATATTTCTAAGATCTGATAAAATCTGAAACAATCAGCTACAATGAATACGAGTACCAGAAAATATTTCCGATTAAATTTTCACGATGGACTTATTATTTCAGTAGTACCAGTATCAGCACAGCACTGGTGGCAGTAATGACAGGACCAGAGACAAGATGCAGAGACAGGTAAAATTACGTTGAGAGCGCATAAATATACTAACATCAGAAAATTGAGACATCCTCTTCCCTACTATACCTCACGACCCCCAGTTGTTAACCGTAACAATTCTTTTTCTGAAAATGACCAGAAGCCTCCATTTTTTTCTGCGAAGCCGTGTAGCTCCGCCGCTAGTGGATCGATTTTCAAAAGCTACACAGCTTTTTGTCTTTGGCATAGTAGTAGCCTGATGTGGAAATTTCATCCAAATCGGAGTGGTACTTTCCAAGTTAGGGGGCAAGGATTAGCGGACAGACAGATATATAGACCGACAGAAATAATGAGCAACATGGTTTTTTAAAAAAAATTCTTTATATCCAAAATATTCGTGATTACAATACTCCCTCGGTCCTCGTCATTGACGTATGAAGTAAAAACACACAGGAAAGTAATGAATGTCATTTTAAATGACGTTCTGTTAACATCATTATGTCTTTTTGACATCTAAACTTTATATTATGAAATATATGAATACGTGCGAGAAATTTGCTAATGTTAAATATAATCCGATAATATTAGAAAGCTGCTTTTGATAAGAGCAAAACAAAAATGAATGAAAGTCAACCAACGTTAGCACATAACACCCCTTGAAAATCGTAATGGGCCAGTTCAAGCCGCCAAAGTCTGATCCTTTTTTTTACATTTCACTTTGGACTTGTCAGCCGGACAGCAGGAAACTAGACATTTCAGAGTATTTATGAACACTCTAATGTATGGAGATATCAAAGTATTAGTAGTGAAACAAAATCTCTGGCTTGAGACGGTCATTACTGATTTGTTACATCGTAGATAAAATTGCTCGACCTCTAGTCATAGTATTAACAGCTCACATGTATTGTACTATATTTTACTTGACAAATTAACAGTAGTATTACATTTGTCGTAATGTTGTAACTTGTACTGAGCAAGAAAAACATACATTATGAGAAGTAAGTTGTCTAAGTGCTGGTATAGCTCTGTAATTCTCTAAATTCCAGGGAATTGTGCACATTTTCATAAATCTAAAGTTTCTATTCCATCCATCGGCATCGGCCGAAACTAGGGCAGAAGTTGAAGCTTCCTTTTAGGTTTCGGCTAAAAACCCAGCTTCGGTCGGTCACTAATAGAAATTCTTCAATTTGATTGACAATCTCTGTTGACTTATGTATGTATCCTGATTTGCTTACCAACCACATTCTCCTAATTAACATACAAACATTTTTTCAAACTTAGCCGCTTACCCTCCCTCATCAGCCTTAAAACTACCACCACACAAGCGCAAATTGCCACGAATTACTGCACCGCTTACAACGCAACGGTTCGCTGCAGAATTGTAATCATCTATAACAATGAAGGTAAGTGGTAAGCAGCCTAATTACGCTAGTCGTCCATATCGGTGAGTTAGTAAACTTCCCAGCAAATGTGAAGGCAACAATAGCTGCTGCAACACTTCATTTCGCGAATTGCTTTACAGAACAATGCCTTGTAACAAACGTACATTTATTAATTTGGCTTTATTTAATTCTTACGGTAATGCTGTGCGTTGTCAACGCAGCATAATTTCAATGCGTTTTTATACTCTTATAAAATTCACATGCTGTTTTCGAAATTAACAAGCTCATCCAGCATCACTACAAAGAAAATTGCTAATTAAGAGACCATCGGCACCTCCTAGGATCTTGTTTGGAGTGCTTTTTTGTTGCGCTTAGTTGCCCAATTTTTACTTCACTCGATTTCGGCCATGGTCAACTGAGATTATCTTAGGCTAAAAGCACTTAAGCAAGAGAAAAACGAACGTTTCCATACACTAACTAGCGAAGTAGAAAACCTTATAAAAAATTGAATAATGCTAGGTGAAATTATATTCCATTCGAAAAAATTGCCTCATTCCGTTTTTAAGACCTAATTTTCATTCTCTTTTTCCGACCACCTTGTACTATTTGTTATCGAAATATGAAATACATTTTATTTTTTAAGTAGATCCCAAAAAAAATACGAGGAAAATTTGTTGTTCTTCATTGGGCTGCATTTGTCATTTTTTATATATGAATGTGTGTTTAGAATCCCGCGTAAAATCCTAAAATTGAATAATATACAGGGTATTCCATTTAAAATAACAACGTTGGTTATCTTCCTTTGGTATAATTGGAAGTGCCACCATCTATACTATAAAACCAAATTTTCATATTGGTCTAAAGTAAAATTTTCGCGTAATCCATCGCTGCAATTCTATGCTGTATAGTAGCGGCAAAAAATGAACTGTCATCTGGAAAACAAGTAAATCAAATGTCATTGTTATTTACCATAAATGTTGTATCTAGATGTTGATACTTTCGCCATATTTTATAGTGTTTTTTGTACTGGTGCATATTTCGTTTTGATTGAACCAGTGTTATACAACTTTTTTTTTTTTTTTTTTATACTCCAACTACCACGAAGGCCTAAGGCCTAAACACCCATTGGGTACCGTGGGGCTATAGGGGGATACAGGGGAAAGGGGGAACGCCACACGGACTCTGGCGAGGGAACACGTCTGCATGTAACATGCACACATTCTGGCTCCGCCTACGAGATCCGCCGGGTGGTACCTCCACGTTCGACAGTCAGAGACCGTCTACCACCTACGGACAATCACAACATCCATAGCCAAGAGAAAAATTTCTCCTGGGACGGGACTCGAACCCGCACAGCGCACGGCGACTGATCAGGAGACCGAAGAGTCTACTACTGCGGCCACCGCTGCTGCCTAAAATTCATGTTCCTTTAGTTAATACTTTGAACTCACATTTAACAGCTTTTACTTATAACTCCATGTAACCATATTTTTTTCGTCAGTTTTCTCATGGTTTTCTTTCTTATTTTCTTTGGAAATCTACCATAAAATCATGCGAAAGGTTAACAAAATAAAATACAATCTTTCATTGACAGATAATAACACGAGGCACGAAATGACAGATGGTTTACGTTCTTTTGTACTTGTACTGTAATCGCGAAAAATTTCGAAAATGAGATATTATGTATTTTGGATAGTATGTGACATGTATATCACGAACCATGTTACTCATTTCCGTCGGTCTGCCCTCAAATCCTTGGCTGTCTATAACTTGGAAAGTACGTAGCTAATATATCCTATATTTCTCCATACTCTTAAAACTCTTAGAAATATCAAACGGACTTGTCGCGTTTAGATTCCACTTGCCCTACGCTACGAACGCGCCCACATGCCCACAAAATTCCGACTACCGCGCAGTCTCTCACCTATCACCGCCACATTGCTCGAGCTGGTCAGCATAACATGGCTGATGTTGCCAGATGGTCGATATATTCAGCAAGGGCAGGAAAAGAGGTTATCAAATGGGTGGAGTAATCGTATGAATGTTTGGCTCACTTGAACTATTTATTATTTTTTCCATATACTTGTTCGTAGTTTTTCTCTCTTATAACATATAAACTAATGACAGCGTTACATGGGAGGTACAGAGTCAACTTACTTGATGCTATTTTCTAGTCTATGAATCGAATGTCGAAAGTTAAAGGATTATCTCAAAAGGGTAGCCTGTGAATATATGCATTTTTAAACTGAAACGCAGTGTTAAAGGATACATGATACATTAAATTTGAATGATGCTTTGCTCGCTGTGGCTAATGAAAATCATGTTAAAAATTCCGATATCAGCAATAACTATTTTTCAGCTTTACATCGGACGTTTTTCGAGTGCGGTCATCGAAATACCAAATTGATGGAAAAATGTTTGTTTGATTTATTGATGGATTTGGAAAATGGAATAATGTTTGTACTAGACGATTGTTAAAAAAATCAGCTATTATACATAACATGGATGCTTTTATATCGAGAGAAAAAAGTCGATCATTGTTTTGATACCCCGACGCCAGGTATACAGTCAGTGAAAATCAAAGGTTACCCAATTTTGGCCTAACAAAAATGCTTAAAAATCACTTTAAAATAAACTAATCTGAACATACTTTTCTAAGTCTTGTAGAGCAAGGTTTAAACTTTTTGATTTAGAAATTTGGGGTTACAGCGAGTACTACCTTTTTCAAACTGAGTTGTACTAGATAGAGTTGGCTCTGGGTTATTTCAGCTTCTGTTAGTGTTATAAGATTATATTTGCCCTTTTGAAAGGTGAATTAAGGCACCAGACGAAAAACTTGTTGTGCAGCTTAGACCATTTTTTTTTGTGAAGCGTCATATGTTAGTACATTAACGGTATTTTAAGGAGTTTTGTTTTTGAATATTGAAGAATTTTGCAACAGTTAGGAATATGTTCGTCACCGTAGAATTCAGTAGCTACAATCTTAAGTTAAAATCGAAAACATATTTTGTATTTTTTTTAACGTACTTTTCAACCCTTCCTATTACAAAGAGCACATTTGTAAGGCATTCAAAAGGATATAGTCGACCACTAAAAACTTCATTTATTTTGAAGCTAGGAGCGAGGCCCCAAGCTGCTCAACTAAAAAATATCCCAGAATCGCTGTCATGTCATCGCTGTCAGGAACACTAAATAAAACTTACATGTCTTCTAACTTGATTTTTTTTTCATAATCACCTTTGTTGAAAGTAACTTAGCAGGAAACAAGAGGTAGCCGCTCGGTAGCTCGAGTCAAGTTTGTTTAAACTATTTCTTAGATCAATTACAAAAACATGTTTTTTTGCCCGTTGTTTATGTTTTCGTTCTGAACAAAAAAACCTACAGTTTTCTCTATATTTAATCATTTTCCAGTTATAAGCGATTTAATGTTTGAAAGACCCTGAATAATAGGTATATTCAACGCTTAAAAACTCGGTTATAAATTATAATTTTTGAGGTCAACAAGTGTCTAAATTAAAGATAAGACCCTTGTCTACAAGACTCCACAATCAGTTTATTTTGAAGCGGTTTTCAAGTTTAAGGCCGTCTGTCACGATAGGAAACTTTGTGCTAAATTTAGTACACTGAATTTCGTACAATATTAAGTCTAGTGTCAGACAGCATTTGGAACATAGTTTTGTATGAACAAATTTAGTGCTAAATTTTTTAGAACCTGTTTGTTCTAAATAATATAATGCTAAAAGTGTGCAGATGCCTTCTGCTAGAAGCGCTACGTGACAAGGAATTACATGTTTTGTGTTTTCTACTTATATTTTTTTGCTATTTTGTGACGATTAAATGAGATGAAAATTGGTTGACAAAAATCCTAACCTCAAGCGCTTTCATCAGTTGTTGCGATCTGGCGTGTTGATCAGTTGCGATTATATTGTTACTTGTAGATTGAAAAACTTAAAACATGTCATGGTCAAAAGAGCTGTGTGACATACTACTCAACGAGAATGAGAAATATGATTGTTTATATACTGTAAAAAGCCAGGCCTATAAAAACAGAAACGCTAAATAAGCTGCGTTGGATAAAATCAGAATGACTTTAGAACCAAATTAGACCTATTAGCCAGTCGATTTTCCACTAGAGGTCCTTTATTCAGCATCTGGAGTACACCCATTCCCCGGTCCTTCTCCCTGATCCATTTTCGACACCAAATTCTTTTACGGTTTCGTTTACTTCGTTTTTTTCATGAGGTGGGCAGCTACAATGCAGATCGCTGGTCCCGCAGTCGCATATAATATTTGCGAATTCAAGATCGCTCCATTTTGTACAATTTTCTATTCGTTTAAAGTAATAAGCAAGCCGCAACGAAAAGTGTGGTTACTATGACTTTGACGTTATAAATCGCAGTTGACAGTTACAGGTTTTTTCTACCGAATGTGCATGATTTCGTACGAAATTTATTACTAAAATTTCTTTACGTGACAGTCAGGATTGTAATTTGTAAATAAATTGAGAACTAAATGTGGTACCAGATTATGAAAAAAAATTTGTACAAATTTATGAAAATTTGTATCGTGAAAGACGACCTTAATAAAGGAATAAAGTAGGAAGTCGCAAAGTGTGGTTAGAATAACTTTGACATGATAAATGACAGTTCAAAGTTGACATAGTTTTTTCTATCGACTGAGCATGATTTCGTACGAAATTTATTATACCCTCTCCAGACTCACGCGCGAATCACGGCGTGAAATCGCGGCTCGAATCGCGGTGCGAATCCCGAAATTTCTTCCTACAGTTCCACACTCGCAGATGTTCGCGCCTGCTTCACAGTATAGTTCGCGGTCTTGACGAGTATGGATGGTGAAATTGCTACTGCTGCTGCAGTGCTACTTTGCGCTTTGGCATTTTATAGTTACGCATATATAAGTAAAACTAGAGCAATTGAAAATAAGTGGAAAAAACACAACCACTCCCGACACTCGCTATGAGGCAACTGAACCACCAGCGAATGTGGAGCCTAGTCATGTTCGCGCCTTGCGAACCCTTTGTCGCGGGACAAAAAACCGACAACAAAC